TTTTTTTGCACTGAATTGTGTTAAGTAGGAAAATAAAATTTGAAAATTTGAACTCGTAAATAACAATCATTAAAAACAATGAATCGAAATATAATCGAGAGCATCGAATAGCAAGTTGTGTTAATGTACTTTCTTGTGACAACGACTGTTTAACGACGTAGTAAGTGGCTTTGTTTCTTTGAAACATTCAGAGATTCCGATTTAGACACTGTTCATGTTCGTGTCTAGAAATGCCATTAACGATTTCAAGAAGATAATAACGATTGACTGGTTTTCAAAGAGCTCTTTTATGAGATCAACTTCGAGCAACAGTACACAGTCGAGATAGTTTTCTAATTTGAAACCTCATTAAAATCTTCATTATACATCTCCATTGCTGCACAGAAAAATGTTCATATCAATAAAACAATATTATGGCCGATGCAATGCAGATGACAGAAAAACAGATCAAATCACTGAATTTGCTCAAATTACGGCAGAATTTATTTGTTTGCAAAATTGCGGAATTCATCGCTGTGCGAAATGCGCATGCTGTTGTTGTATTGCAGTTGAACTCTAGTTGTATTAATATTTTGTGAGCGATGCCGAATTAGATTGCAATGTGCTAATGAAGTCAAATTGATTCTCGCATCATCTCTAAACCGACCAAATCCTTTTAATGCTATTCTTAGCATTTTTAGAAACTATTTGAATATTTGCAAAGAATAAAAAAAACAAAAACAAGGAATTTCTGTACCTTTTCTGTTCGAATTGGATTAGTGTAAAACGAGTTTTTCACGAATTTAATGCATTTTGATTGGGACCGAAGTACAGAAATAATTCAACAATTTTCACAACAGAAAAAGAAAACTTTCAATTATTACTAATTTAGCACACTGATTTTGCAGTTTTCTTGATTGATGACGGTTTTACATTGGAACGTTTTGTATTGTATTGCTGATGAGGATGCTTTTTGTGAGAAGAAAACAGCGTTGTCAGAATTGGGATTCAATTAAGGCATTCATTTATTTGCACACTCTTCAAGTAATTCACCTTTTAGCCTTGAAATTGAAGAGTTAAGGGTAATTCATCAATTCAATCTTTCTTGACGTATGCACTTAATGGAGTTTGGCATACAGTTTGTCTTGTTGTAAAGAAATGAATCATATTCATAATTGCTCTGAGCACTCTCTGCGATCGACTGCAAACGCAAGATGAAATGAATTACTGCAAATGGAATTCAGTGCTGATTAGATGTAAAAGTTTTTTTTCAAAGTTTTGGCATGTCACTACGGTGACGATTTTTCTTTTAGGTTTTCGAAGGCACCAGTCCTACCTGATGATTAGTTCAATATTTGTTGTTGATAGGTGACAATCAATGCTTGTGTATAATCAGTGAGACAGCTGGCATGTAACTACGGTGACGATTAAGGGTGGCTACTGACTGATAGTATTGTAATATCCCTTTCTAACTTCAAACTCTTCTAATCTCAATTCAGTAAAGAGTTAAGAGGAATTCGTCAATTCAGATCTTTTTCGATGTATGCACTTAATGGAGTTTGGCATACAGTTTGTCTTGAAGTAAACAAACCAATCATATTCATAGTTGTTCTGAGCACATTCCGCGAACGACTACAAACACAACAACCATGAGAGCAGGTTCTGTACAAATCATTTATCAGATTGGTCTTGCAGGATAACAAATGAAACATCCATAAGATCACATAATCAACGATTCAAGCAAGCAATATGGTCTTACACACTCTTCTTACAAATATGAATATCATTCAAAAGTTTTATTTGATACATTCGAAGCAAAATAATTACAAACAAATGGTTTGGTTTCGATCAATCACAAATGGGTATTTGACTGGATTCCTCAACAGCAAATTATCTTCGTTGTGATGCGATGTAACGCTTGAGAATGACTTACGATGTCGTCTTTGNTATGGTGATTGAGCTAATTTCATATCAATATCAGTTCGGATCATCGTTGTTAGTCGTAAAAATTTGAAGGTTCATTATTAAAGGTTTATAAATATTATCAGAGATGAAAATTGACATTTAGTGTTTAGCAATTTGAAATGATAAATTAATGAGAACACCGACTTTTCGCTGACTAATCGTGGTGACAAGCTTTGAACTCTGATCAAACATGATTTACGAGGTGGGCGATTCTTTTTGAAACAAGTATTGACGAAATCATCCGAAGAATTTCGAAACTCGATTGAACGATGGTAATGAGTCTGAAGAATGAAGGAATAGTAAATGAGGCGAATGAATTCAATGATATGGAAAACCTAAATACTTGTAAATATTTATGCACAAACAAAAATCTGGTTGTTTTGATTGGATATTCCCTCTTTTTTTTTCCACTGAAATTTGTTTTAGAGGGGAGATTTGAAATTGATGAGAATCATTTCGATAGTTTGCAAACTTCATCCTATTAACAGGTTAGTTTCATGAATCCAACTGATTTCTTAACCCAGTTTGCTTCAGCATAATTTTATCGAGTGACCAACCAGCTGACTTCAAGTCAAACTTTTTTATCCCTATTGCTACCACCAGAATATGAAAATACTCATGTCCGATCGGCTCTCAGTTTTTCCATCTGAAATTCAACATGGAATCAACAAGTAGACGAAGGGAATCCTCTGGTAAGTGCCGACTTAGACTGATAATAAAGAGATATGCTCGTAATGGTGAATACTTCTCAATTTCAGAACAAAATCGTCTTCACTAACAATTTGTTTCGAATCAACCGCTTCACACAAAGATCCTTTCCTGATCTCACTCACGATCAAATTGAACGCTTTCATCATCGACCGTTGAAGGGAATCTTCTGTTGAACTGTGAATTTTCTGTGATGTCCATCTGAAGTGAATGTCAGGTTGATGGTGAAAATTTTCTGAACTCTTAGATGAAGTAATTTTGGTTAATCGAAGGAATAAGGTTAATCCTTCATAAAGCCAAAGTTCTATCCCCTCTTCCTACTGTAGCTCTGATTCGAGTGAGCTGCTACCGCTTAATGATAACCATTTGTGAATCATTTCTGACCATTCAAAAATATCCCCCTCCTTCCCCCCCTCAGAATGATATTATCTTTTCTATCTCAAATTCAACATTTCATCTTCTTTCTGAGTGGAATGTTCACGTTTTCCCCTAAAATATTGCAAATAATGTTTATGAGTTTACAAATGGAATGAACGAGTGAGTGCAGAACAAACTTGGTGTTCGTTGTTGTCGAGCATGAGAGTACAAGCAAGTCTCGAACAACCTTCCAATGAGCTGCTGTTAAGTTCACGTTCGCTCGAAAATGTGTCATGCCTACTTGACGGCACTTCGCTTGGAGTTCATTTAAAGACGTCAATTTGCAGGCCAACGAATGCAGTGCTGACTCTTGAAAATTCAATAAATTGCGTGAAAATCTTTAAATTAATGTTCTTTCAAATATTGTGACTACGAAATGAGATGCATCGTCGTACCCTCTCAATCGCTTCCTAAACGTTCAACGAATAAATGAATCGTTGACGGAAACAGGAATATGTAATACGGAATAATATGGAAAAGTGCAAGTAATGTCATTTTATTGTTTCAATTCGAACCAAGTACAAATGATGACATTCATAAATATTTTGTTTGAATAACATTTCAGACTAATTCTATATTAATGAGCGCATAAATAGTTCTATTCCAATCACACATTCATTTATCAGTTCATATTCGCCGAATCGAAAATGCAGACACAACTGTTCGTGCTCAATAATAATTGTCCATCGCATAGGATTTATTCATGCCTTTTACCATAAGTGCATATTTCGTAGCAAAATGTTGCTTGTTGTCAGCAAATGGCAAAACTTTTTCATTAATGAAGTACAACAATCTTAATGATGCTAATAGCTAAATACTGACGCAATAATTTCGATGATGAATATCCCTTGACCCTAGAACGCTTGTTTTGATCCTATACCAAGTTAGGCCAGACGGCATTTTGGTGGCTTCTGCGGTGTAATTTCACACTTAACGTTCGTGACATCGTCAAAAAGTCCCTAAGGATTGCTTGCGTTTTTTNTTTTTTCCTTGACGAATTAAAATCATTTCTCATCAAGCAATTATTCTGAGAAAATAATTACACGCTAAATGCATATATGAGTCGCTTTGAGCCCCAATGTGAGATAAAATAAATTCGTACCAATGTGTGCTAACTATAAATGATCGACCGCATTAGAGTCTCATCTGCAACTGAATGTTGACAGCAAAGAAACATGACAGCAAATTTCAATTAAGCGCACATACCAATAAAATCAGCAAGCACTTTGCCATGTGCCTGAATCGCTTTATTGTCACGCAACGATTCCTTTTCAAGTTCACTTGCATTCGGTATCAACGCTTCTGCTAACTCTTTTGATTCAGAACACAACTGAAAACATGCTCATAATTCATTGATAATAGCTCTGTGGTCTACGAGCAAGTTCCGCCTGAACCTTTTTTTGGAAGTTTCATCGAGTCATTAATTGTTTTTTCGATACTTTGGCTCAAAATTGGTCAATATTCTATGGACATTTCAGCGCACAATGCCAATACGGTCATTCAGGCAAAACATGCTCTTGTTTCGTTTATGACTTTACACTTTAAAACGAGAATTGAGCACATTTCTTATGAAAATGTGATTGACGATTATCAACAAGTGCAAAGTTTTCCATGCAACTTTGAGACAATCTCTGTAATGATTTGATTGATTTTCAACTCGGCACAAAACGTTTACGATCGCGGTTCTTTCATCTCTTCAGTTACCTCCCACATTCGCGTTGCTCTTCTTTGATTCCATTCAGTTTTTAAGTTCTTCAAAAAGAAGTTTTCGTATTTTTCTCATATGTCACATCTCACTTTTCAGTTCAACATGGTTAGTTGAAACAACCAACTGATTCCATTATTTGACATGCAAAGTCTGGTTTAGCACGGAAATTCTCGAAGTATATCCGAAGTGACATGTTCTCATGCAAATCTGACGGTAATTGCATTAACAATCAAATTAACAGTACTTCCTGCAGTCTCAGAAATTTTTCCGCTACCGCGATTACAACTTATTCTTCCCTGTTTTTCAGCCATGACACTCGAAATTCTCAATGGATACGACTATGCAATCTCACTTTCGCCTACAAAATTGTTCAAAGCATTTGTTGTATTGTTGATTTGCAAAAAAACTCTGGAAACAGGAGAAAATCAGAAATTCAACGGAAAGTTCCATAAAATATGACCTCTGTCAGAGATCCACGGATATAATGAGATATAAACTGAAAACACGTGCGGGTACAAAGTTCAGAGGAAGTATCTGTATGGATAATGACAAGTTTTAGAAGAATATTGAGTCAAATGCTAAGTGACAAGAATGAATGGCTCAGAAAATGATGATGATAGTTGATCATTAGACGTTATTCGAAAGAACAAAATGCTTTTTTTTCAGATTGTCAGCAGCAAATCTTACAAAACGATTGTCACAAAGTATTATCGCAATCAAATATCACATTCGATTGAGTTTTATTTGCAGCATTCGTGAAATGAGAAATATCCAATACAGCCTGAGTTATTATTTCAAGAAGCTCGAATATCTTAGGCAATGTCTAGATGGTTCGCCTTTGACAGTTTATACAAAGAGTCCGTCCACTTTCGGTTCAAACAAACAATTAGGTTCACCCACACTCATTTTGTTTTCATTATCCTTAGTGAATAGAACCTCGAGTTTTTCCTCAAGCAAAAAACGAATGAATTTAATTAGTGATTCAGTCGGAAAGAACATATGAAAATACTTCCAAATGAATGCAGCAATACTCATAATCATCATAATAAAACATACTCTTGCAATAATATCAGTGCCAATCTTGTATTTTTGAGGCGAGAAATGAACCAATAAATTGTACGCATCATTTGGATCAATTGATGATTTGTATGTTGATGTTGATCCGATACTGTGACATTGCTTACCATTCTGAACAGAAAACATCGCATAAAGATTTGGAATCAACCAGGAATATGTTCGGTGAGGAAACAATGCGAGAGTCGACTATGTCTTGCAAGGATGACGAGGTGACAGGTGATCAGAATTGGATTCGCTGAATAATTACAGTGATAGATTATCAACAGATAGATCATCATTGTACGGATGAAGTGGTACTGAATGGAATGTAACGTGTAAATCCGTATGATAGGATTAAAGATAAACATAGAAATACCGTTTTGTTGCATATGGTCCAGTGATAAAAGAGAAGCCAGTTGGTTGCCGAGTGTAAAGTGATAAGCATATTCGAGAAATCGGTTAAGTAAAGTGAGCGAATATACTGTATTGTTTCGTGATCCGTTTGCTGACTACTGCAAAATGACATTTGAATTCAACTAGTCTGAGGCAAAATCTGAATGCTCAAGCATCAATCGAACCGATAACGTGTGCAATTTCGATGGGTTGTCGGCCAGTGTTTTCCTATATTTCCATCGAAATTGTTCAGTATCTGATCGTCAAGAAAATTTCATGCATCCATAAGTTAATGATTTGCCTGAAAACTCCTCATGGCTTCGCTATGACAAAAAATTCGTCAGCATTTTGGATGACACCGCCAAATATTCACTGAATGCAGATACTAACAGAAGAACGAGCTCATCATATTTCAGGGCAAATGAGGCTAACGATGGCTTTAAAATAGCTTCAGCCTTGAGACTCACCTTCTTTTGCCACCATATCCCATCACCTCCATTAGGATTGTGTTGAACATATACAACGTATTACAGAGGATAAATTTAATATTGAGCAACTGCAAACGAATAAATGAAACGGCTTAGAGGTGGAATAATTGAGCAAATAATTCTACTTTCGTTTTCAAAACGAAATGATCACTTATACTTATTTCTAATGTAAAGCTCGGTTGGAATAAATTCTAAAGATGTCAATTGGCTACAGTTAAGGCCTCATTACGGATAATCGAATGCAATTCCATGCAAATAAAATTCACTTACGGTTAACATGAACGGTATATTGCGTCTTCGATTAACTTGTATCGTATTCGTACCGACGCGTCGATTTTTATAGATTTGTAGTGTTCGTACGGTCAAAGTGGCGATCATAATAATTGGCGATGGAGCACGAAACAAAAGATCCGGAATGAAATGAACCACTGAAACTGATGCTGAATCACTGATCATTTTTGTAGAAACGTGATCACTATGCATGATTTTTGTCACTTTTTTGCGTGGAAGTATTGCTTGAACGTAGTTCTAATTTGCAGTCAGCATGGTATTATGTGAAGAATTTCTTAGCCTATGATAAGTTCATTTCAATCCAACCAAATTCATCCTAATCAGTTTTGGGGCAATATGTTGCATGAGAATATTGAGAAGTTATCGATATTGTGATCAAAT